GCCGAAGTTGCTGATGTGGACATGATATGATAAGCACGGCAGCGGGAACAACGCGCAGGCTGCAGAATGCGGTGCGGGCGGAACGCCAGTGTTACTGTTTTGCTCGCTAATACAGCACCAGGCTGCATCGAAACAGTCACGCCTTCTCGGCAGGCGGGCTGTTTTGTCAGCGTTCGTGGGTTTCGCCCGGCCGGAATTAACGACGGATAGACAAGACTGAAGTTCCAATTCCTCAGGGTTATGAATCTCCCAACTCCGTGCTTTCCCCTCAAATGGAGCGAATGTCGCGTGTGTGGTGCGAACACGGCACTGTCGGGGTTGAAAGCGTGAGGCTTATCTCCTATCCCCCATCTCTCCCCCATACTCGCACCCGGATACCCGTTCAAGCGCGAGGTGCCCGTCTTTGTGTGTGCCCCATCAAGTCCGCCCGCGCCGAGGGTGCCGTTCCGTGTGGTGCAGAGCTGCGGCCCCGAACCTCCTCGTCCTCCTTGCTCGCATTCGGTCAACCGGGCATTGTGCTACGTGCATAAACCCCGCGACCTCCACGTTCCCCGTCAGTCCTAATAACTCAACTAGATTACAGTAGACACAAGACCTCTTCCTGCGTGTCTCTGTGTCCTCGGGATCCCACACGCCCCCTCTCATAGGGCAAAGGCTTGGACCCCTCGGGTGTCGTCTCATGCCCAGCTGTTTTGCGCAGAGGAACTGACATTGGCAGCGACTTGAGACAGCCCAACCAATCATCAGGGCGGATCGAGCGTTCGGGCTCGGCACGGGCTGACGGACTCGTCAATAATTTTGACTCATTAGTAAAGAAGAGGAAGGACCCTTGCGGGAAGGTAGAATTATACAATTATCAGATAATCGTGTGTCAAGGCGTGTCAGTGTCTCGCCTTTTCTTCCTCTTTGTCTAAGCGGCCACGGGGTCTTGGGCTGCCTCTGCCGCGTCTTAGTGTGTGTGTGAGTAGACTGGAGAAGACGCTACTGCGAAAGCCGTCGTTGAGCGGGAATGGGGGGTGAGTGAGGGGTGGAGGGGTAGACTCACGCTGCCCATCGAGTTCCCTGTCAGGTATCGATCATTTCGCCGAGGCATCGTGATCAGACGAAGAATCCCATCCCGCCAGCTAACCGAACACCCTAATTCTCCCATCGCGATTCACCATCGAACATTCATATCGTTATCGTCGTCCTCCCTCGGGACCAAAATGAGATCCAGGGCAAGGCTTCTTGTTCCCTTCAGTAACGACCGGTGGGCAACTAGACACCTTCTTCACCGGTCCGACGGACTCTTGTCTTGGCCCTCGAGCGTTGTTCTGCGTCTCCAGACGGATGCCGGACAACACAGCAGCACACCTTTCGGTTCGTCGCGAGCGCATTCGCATCGTCGATGTAAATACACTACATCGCCGATGAGGGGGCGAATTATACAGAGACGCGACGCTCTCACATCGCCACATCAACCCACGGACGCGACTATTGGGTGGGATGGGCAATAGTGATTGGCATCCCACGTTGCCGTAATCGTTGACTGCTGCCCGCATCGAACAATTCCATCAGTTCTTACAAAGACGGCTGCCAATCACGCCAACTTGATCGGCATTATCAAGCCTTACCCGTTGCAAGCCCCCATCGGTCGCACATCCGCTCCCAGCAGCTAGGTAACTGTGGGGATGATTTGCTCTGTTCAGGCATCCCGAGCGGCCATCGACAGGCCGTGTAACTGTCCACGATGTGGTGATGTTCGTCTATGCATTGATTGCGCGCGCCGCTCGGGAAGACCAAAAGAGCAACATCAGCCGTGTATCATGAGGTGTCGACGCGGCAGCAGGTGACCCTGGCGCGCATGTGCACAAACAGTTGATGATACGCATAGACGGCTGCCAAGGCATTTGCTGTTTCTCAGACTGAATCTCAGTGTTGTGGCATGCTTCAAGAGGGCCGTTTGGCGATGTCTTCGTGAGGAGACGACCGCAAGAAGATGGCCCCAACCAACGAATCACCTTACTGCAAGCCAAGGCTCTCCCCATCTCCATTCTCCAACGCGTTATTTGAGTCATCCCTGAGCTGATACCCAACAACCCCTCTACCAAGACCTCTGGCCGGTCACAATACTGTCTCGCGACATCACGATGTCGAGAGACGCCAAGGGTCTGTCTGTCTCTGCACAACTGCACTCGGGAGACTGTAGGCGTGTCGTGTCGTTGTGCAGGGTCTCTAATACCGAGACAAGCCTCCTCCGGCGCCGTCGCGGGAATGCGGCAGCACGCAGATTCTCGTCCCCGGAGCTGGCTAACTGACAGGCCCCGCCCGCGTTTCTTCTTTTGCACATCGACAATCGACACCAGCATCGACGGCCGACATCGACAATCGCACAATCCGACAAGCGCCGTCCGGTGAGTCTCACGAACAGCGTCTCAGCGCGATCTCTTCATCGTCTGTTTTCCTTAGTCTACACTCCTTTCTCGGGTCCATCGTCCGCGGCAAGCAAAACCTTTTTCATGCTTATCATCGAAACGAAACGCGATCGAAACGCTGCTGGTGGTTATCCCGTACCTGTCCCATCCGCCGCTTGTGCTCGCTTGCGCGTGCCATGTGCCCTTGGTGCCTTGGTCCCAACTCTCCGGATCTCGATGACATGCCAAATGTTTCCAATTTTCTTCTCCTTCGTCCTCTCGATCGACGATTTCACAATCCCATTGGCAAAAGTTTTTCTTCGTATCCCATCTCCGGCCTGCTCCATCGGCCACCCTTGCGTTAATAATTCCCTCTCCTCGGCTTGTCTATTTCTGATAGCCCTCGGCCGACGCTAAGCTCATGATTCCATTGCATCCCTTGGAGGAGGGTATCGTGCCCTTCCCCGATTCGCATGCAACTATCGCGTACATCGCACTGCGCTTCCCAACCGTGCACCTGACATTGATCCGGTTAGTTTGCGATCGCGATCATAGACGCCGATGCTAGGCATCGATATTAGTGCCCGCTATTGGCCAACGGTGCACGCTGCTGCCGTACTATCTTCACCCAATAATCTTTCTTTCAACGGCTCACCGTCTCATGTTTTGATGCGTCCGTCGCTCTGTCCGCACCGGCTCTGCGGGCCTGGCTGTCAGGCGTCCCGATGATGACTGTCTCTCAATTCTTCATCGTCGATGAGCAAAGCTGGTTTTTCTTAGGGTCGATGGCAGCACCATTCATTCCACTCGGCTCAGGATCCTTACAGGGAGAGGGGGGTGCAGCCTCGGGGAGGAGCAGCAGCTGGTTCACCAAAGCCAAGCTTCTGCTCGGAGGGACCCAGTGGGCATTTCGCGCTGGGGACACCCGTGCTGATCAGTATTGCCCTGGGTGAGGAGTCATCGCTGATGGTTCCGCTGGAAATGCCACCTCACCGAGTCTAGACCGTCGTCGAACCAGGCTGGGATCTGGGGGGCAGGCTGTCAGGTTCCTGGCCATTGGGTACTTTCCCCCAAACCATTCTCCGCATTTCATTGTGTCGAGGAGCGAAGGTTTATGGGTGCAGATGCAGACTGTCTGCCCTGCGGCTCTCGTGGGTTTCTCCCCCTCTCTCATTCACACTCTCTGTTGCCTGCTCCTTCAGTATTAGGCTGAGTGGAACCAACAGAGTCGTCTTGCTGGGGCCATGGCCAGCGTTCCGTTGGCAGTTCAACCGACGCACACACTCTTTTTCCCTGTTTCCAGTCGCAGTGTAACCATACGAAGAGTCTCGAGCCAGTCGCTCCTTCCGTTTGATATGGTGCCATTACTCGGGTCTTGGCTGGACCTGACAGGCCACGAGGGCAAAAAGAAGCCGTGAGTTAAATGGTTAGACCACACTCTGTTTCCTCAGCTGACTCGACTCTTTTCCAATCATCGTGAGAGGCAGTCGAGGTGCCTGTCACGTCGTCTCTGCTCTCCTGTCATCTGAAGGCAGAGTTTGCCGTGTCCCGAAGGCCTCGTTGCCTTAGTCAAGGGGAATGTTATTTCTCGTGTTGTTCAGACTCTCTGAATGGCTGATGACGGCAGAGTTCAAGGCACGCCCGAAGGCACGCCGAAATCTTGAGGCTTTTCAGAAAAGAAACCATGTCTCGTCGAGAAGGGCCCCCCTCTTACTATGCGGCATATGCCTCTTTTCCCTCGGGGTGTGCCACTATCTTCATGCAACGCAATTTCATGTCGTCCTGCCTTTAACAACACAGCGCGCTAGTCGCGCCTGATCGTCCACCTCGACAAAGCAATACCGACCTCCAGAGAGAGAGACCCTCATTTGCCGTTACCCCCTTCTTGTTCCTTGTCCAGCAACTGCCATCGAGGGTCTCGAGCAGCCGTCTCGCTTCACACCTACCACAATCTCACGATGCCTCGGAATGTCGTCCCTTTTCTCCCTCCTACACCCCCGTGATCTCCAGCTGGCATCACGGACATGCCATCCCAAAAGGGAGGAACGCTAACACTAACCCGCCGAGCGGACCGGGGGTTCGATTGGGGGGACCGGAAGTGATGTTCGGGGTCTAGAAGCGCCGTCGACGGGATGGCATGCGACGCCAATGTGCGATGATGAAAGGGCCTGCATGATTGACCGCCAGGGAATGGAATTAGGCGTCTCCCGATCGATGACCTTGGTTTGATCCTTGTGAATCTGGATTTTGTGTGGTTGTTGTCGTCTCCAGGGATGACGATGGGGGTGTAGGCCATCACAGACGCGCATCGCCAAGGTGCGTCTCAACAGCAGGAGTTGTCGTGCGATGGTATGCGAGTCGGATCAGCCCTCGGCGTACGGAGAAACATGGCGAGTGGGACTTTTTCAATCCTTCAGTAGATACACGTGAGATGCGATGATGTGCGTTGCTCAACGTCGATCCTGTAGTTGACCTTCTCACGGCATGCGAGAGACGTCGTCGCGCCGTTGAGGCTATACTACGGCTCGGCACACGGCGTCGCTTAGGCTGGCTGAGACCCTTGGGACTAAAGCACGCCCGCCGTAGTGTGAAGTCCCTCTATGCGAGATGACATACCGGATAAAGTACAGCGTAACTTCGCTTGGGGAAAACGGTGGTCGGCCGTACGTACACCGTGACGACAACGCGGAAGGGATGACAGGCTGTCATTTTCCGTCCCAAGAGACCGACGGGCGTCGCCAAGAACTCACCGCATGATCGGTTATATCGGCCATGGTGCCATTTCTGCCGTTCGTCCAGTGGCTTCCATACAGGATGAGGGCCCGAAGGCTGAGGCTCATGATGCCGCATCCGAGGTGCTCCGCTCCGTCCATTGCGGGGCCGCGGGGTGCATCCATGTCTCGGAGAGTTTGCTCCGGTGGGGGAAGCTTCCAGCAGACGTCGGGAGAAGCGGGATTGGCTTGGCTTTATGCCTGGTGCTTGGGTAACGAATGACTGCTGGGTTATGGTTTGATACTTTTTGAGTAACGAGGTCGTCCGTCGTCGTATCGGCCTCTGACCATCTCGATCGGCGGATGAGACCCTTGTTTGCGGGCGCCTCATGCAGGGCTGAAATGGTTCACGCAGGGTTTGGAGGTGTCCAGATGAAAGGTAACGTTCAGGGTGATATCCACTCTTTCATATATGGAAGTAGATAGAATTGAGGATAGGAATATGTGTGGATAAGGCAGCATTCCGTTGCTTGAGTATGTCCCACATCGGGTATGCCATCCGCGGAGCCAACCTGCGAATCATTTTCAGTGCTGTATATATACTTTCTAAGACGAATGAGAATTTACGTATTACGATGGACCTTTTGGCGTTGCTTCTCCGCTTGCTTCTGTGTGGAAGCGTGCGGAAATAAATATCTAATATGTGGTTGCTACATGTCGGCCGACATATATGCAGCAACGGTTGGTGTTTGCCTATGAGCGGGTCTTATCCTTAATAGATGCAACGGTGAAAAACACCTACTGCGTATCTAGGGACTAAAAGAAAGTTTGACCACCCTGTTCATAGTACGATGATATCGGGCTGGTGGCAAGCAACGTTAGCTTCTTACTGTATGCAATCTTGATCCAACTATCAACCGACCAGGAAAACAATGAAACAGACGCACAGAAATACTTGTGCTTCATAGACAGTGATGTACTTTACTATGCCAACACCCTCAACAGTACGGTCTGAGGTGCGTGTCTCGTAAACATCATTCTTGCTACATTTCCAACAGTATTATAACATTGTCTTGCCTCTAGCTACATAACGTGATCTGCACTCGGACAATAACGCTGCAAATATGTAAGCTTGCCAACTTGAGATATGATGGAATGGCTTGACGGGTGGTTCGACGTGCCGTTAATGACCCGCGAGACTCTACTCGCTTGCCATGCGAATACCACCTCCGTCTACTCATTATAACACATCAATAGACAAGAATCAGCTAATAACCAAACTTAGATCGTTGGCAAGCAGTGGCCTGAGAGTCAGCAAATGCATCGAGGGAACATGTGGTGTGCTGGAGTAAGCTGTTTGTGGACAGAACATGCTCGCATAGTTAGCACAAGGAAGTTTCCTTCTCCCCTGGATTCAGCAACAAGAGACTGCCGAGAAACGGCAACTTGAAGCAAGAGTTTGGCAAGTCGGACAGTGTTCGTTAGCTATCCGGGCAGTGTCCCCTATAATCCGTGATTAAAGAGAGAACGATAGAAGTAGTAATAAGGATAACGACGATGATAATAATACTAACGACGACAATAACGACGATAACGACGACGACGACAACGATAACGATAGTAATAATAATGATAGACGACGATAATAGATAATAATAATAGCGAAAGTGAGAATAGGTAAAACTACAGTTACTATAGAAACAGGCTACGGATTATATGCGTGTGCCCGGATAGCTAAATGACACTTCCTGACAAGCAAAACTCTCAAGCAATTCAGCTTCCAGGAAGCTCTAGCCAGTAATAAACATATAATAACCACATCAAACGGCCCAAGACGGCCCAAACGGCCCAAACGACCCGAAGCGAAGTCCGTTGCCCGGCTTCTAGTGACATCAGCTCCGTTCTCGTCCGGCTCTGCAGGAGCCCCGCCTTCCGCGTTTCCGACGGCCGGCCCAGAGTATCTCGGACACCGGCTTCCGGCATAATCACGTAGCACCGGCCACGACGCAAACAAATCCAAAGTTCCCCGAGCAAACAACAACCGGCAGTTAGAAATGGGAGATTTTTACAGCGACAAATTCGTACAGGCCCCATCCGAGACCCACCGATTCAAGCAACATCCACTTCACAACGGGGCCACAGCTGAATGAGTCACGATTGGGCTCCAGCAACGCATCTCAATTCAGAGATCTCAATCCTCGATAGTCTAGTGGTGAGGATATCGGCTTGTCACGCCGGGGACCGGGGTTCAATTCCCCGTCGAGGAGTTCTTTTTGTGTCTTTACGCTGTTATATCTTTGTTTTCATTTTTGTTCCATCAACAGAGCACTTAAGTAAAGAGTCTTGCTACCCAGGAGGGTGTAGATGCGACAACGACGACGACAACGACGACGACAACGACGACGACGATAATAAAGACGACAATAATAGTAATAACGATAACAACGACAACAACGACGACGACGATAATAAAGATGATAATAATAGTAATAACAATAACAACGACGACAATAATAGCAATAGTAATAATAATGACGGCAGCAGCAATAACGATAATAATAAGGATAGAGAGAGGGATAGGAATATCAACGAAAATAGTAAAAGTTAATTGAGATAAAATCAACTATTAGACCTAATGTAGGAGTTATCCGCCCGGATAGCAAGACTCATTTACATTCACCTGGCTGCATTTGAACAGAAGTTTCCTCACAGAATTTAATTGAACCTCAGATATCTATATCCTCCACTGCTCTAGTTAAACCCTCAGATTTCCAAAAATGAAACAAACCGGCAGCGATCCAGACGGCATGGGCATCATGATTTCAGGCGGTAATACTGTGCAGTGTCTACGTAGATGTGACTCGAAAAGACAATACAACTCAAGCAATTTAATTGAGACCTAAGGCTTACAATTGCGAGTAACCGCGGAAGCTTGCTGTCACATAATACTGAGAACATCAATAGAACATAAAAATAAGAGTACAAACTAGGCCCTATGATCTCTTCTTGTTTTCGTCTTCGTCTTTCCTCAGAGAAGTACTATAAATATAGAACTGCTCATCAGGCCACGCTGTGGATGATTGCAGGGTCCAGGGTCGTGCGCAACACATGCGTCGAAAAGCCCCCAATCACATCCGCCGTCAGCTTCTGTAACCGACGCTGACGGCAGCACTTCTTCATCCCATCCCAGCGACCAGGAAATCGCGCCCACGACGGTGCCACAGGTGAGACCATGCATGCGGCACAGCACCAATCACATCCTCACGTTCGGCCGTCGCAGAACCAACGCGCACCATCAGATGTGGAGGTGATCGGAAGAGGGGCCCAGGAGAAGAGAGAGAGGAGGAGCCTGAGGGAGGTCTGGGCCAAGAAGCACGGTTTCGGAGGCACCCCTAAAATCCTCGTCCCCTCTCTCCCTCCCCCCTCCCCCCTCCATTTCACACGCTTTCGTTCGTGTGACCCGTGCTGCTGGTGCCGCCGATTCGCTTTTTCTCGGTCCATCTCCCCTTGCGGCCGGACGAACTTGCGATTTGCAAACCCAGGCCGCCGGTAACATGTCTGATTCGAGAAACGGGGACGTCGTGAGTTGACCTGCCTTTGATTCCTTCGCCCTCTCTTCCGCCTTACTCATTCAGTCCAATGTGCCCCTCCTTTGCGCGCCGAAAGCCCGCCCATCTCCCGCTCCGGTCGGCGCTCGGCGGGCGGCAGTGCGCTGGGTAAATGACTTTGCTGACGGGCTGCACGTGCAGGATAGCCACCGTGACGACGATGGCGACTTTGATCGCATCTCCATCGATGCCGAGGTGCGTCCAGTCCTCTCATTCCCTCATCTGTTTGCGGGTTAGCTTAGTCTCGTTCCAGTCCTTGGATGAGGCGCTCCCTCCGTCTTTAATCTCCGTGCGACCTAGCATCCGTGAATACTGCAAAGAGAACGGCCGCACGTATCACAAACTCAGTGAAGGGAGTGAGTACGACGCATGACATGGCCGAGACAGCTGACCAACCTCCATGACACCCGAAGAATACATCCTGCCCAACGATGTCGTATGTCTCCCTTCAACCTACAACCATTGGTGAATTGCCTCTAACCAGTCAATAGCTGGAGCAAGATCGATTATGTAATGCCACCCGTTGGAGACCATGAAGCTATTCCCACTCACTTTATCATAGACTTACAGCACCAGCTGTGGTTGTTAACGTGGGACGACAAACTCTGCATGAGCCCGATGCAGGACAACGCAAAGCGAGTCCTTGACATCGGCACTGGTACAGGCATCTGGGCTATGGAATATGGTAAGCACTCTGAGCGTAGCCGTGCTGGGTCGCATCTAACGTGTCGCAGCGGATCTTCATCCCGAGACCATGGTTTGATGACTTCTGAACCGTGTATCCGATAGGATGCTAATGTGATCAAGGTCACCGGGGTCGACCTCAGTCCCATCCAGCCTGACTAGTATGTCCCCCAAGCCCACTGACCCGCACGGGGCTGACTTGACAGTGTGCCCCCGAACTGCATGTTTGAGATCGACGACGTAGACAAGGATTGGAGATGGACGATCACCTTCGACTTCATCTTCGTGCGGCACATGAACTCATGCTTCAAAAGCTGGGAGAAGATGCTGGCGCAGGCATTCGAGTGGCTACACACCCGCCCCGAACACACCGACAACCCATTCTAACTGTTGCAGGCACCTCGAGCCCGGCGGCTACATCGAGCTCCAGGACAACGCGTGGCCGATCCTGTGCCCAGACGACTCCATGCCCGAGACCAGCGCCATCGCCAGGTGGTCCTCGTTACTAGTCGAAGGCTGCAACAAGATCGGAAGCTCAATCGATGTGCCGACACGGTTCAAACAGCTGCTCGAGGAAGCAGGCTTCGAGGCCGTCGTCGAGCACAAGAGGATCTGGCCCGTCAGCCCGTGGCCCGCGAAGAAGAAGCTGCGAGAGGCAGGCTGGTGGGTTCAGGCGGGGAGCTTGGCGGGCCTCGAGGCGTCTACGCTGGCCGTCTTCACGCGCGTGCTGGGCTGGACGGAGCAAGATACGAAAGACTTTTGCGAGGAGGTGAGAGAGGAGTTGCTGAATCGATCGGTTCATGCGTATTGGGAAGTGTAAGTTGATAACCCTATGGGATGGAACGTTGTGTTTCAACAGTCAGGGCATCTACTCACTTGTTTTTGCAGATTTAGCGTTTGCGGGAGGAAACCATACTATGCGTAAGGTAGGTTAACTGTGGAGGAATGAATGAGTCAAAAGGCTGGGCCGCATATCACCCATCTCCTTGAACAGGATATATGGGAGGCACCTCGTTTGCATGGGCGAAGGCGTTTGGGATTGGAGGATTAGGTCAAAGTCACAACATAAATCATGGAATGACAACGCCACACTAATTTCACCATCTATTCTTCGTAATGTGGTATGTTTCATCTGGATCCTCAACCGCCAGGCAACAGCAACGCTATGGTGTGGCACAGTAAAGTACCACGTGGCCACGCCGTCCTCGTAACAAAGGCACCTTGAATTGGAGAACTGCAGTGGTTTCAACGGCACCGCCGCGCAAACAGATCCCAATCTCACATCATGAATCTGAAGAACTTGTGGCATGCGCTCCCACTCACATCCGGCTTCTTCGCATCGACATGTCCCTCAGAAATCCACGCCACGATCCCGGAATCAGACGGCCACTGGGTGTCCGACCGCAGATCAAGAAGTATACATCAGATTCATTCCCTGCTCGAGGCCTGCCCAGAAATCACGACCCTTGACCTGCGATTCGCGCTTATCGGCTGCGTCGGTTTTCCGGAGCGATGGAGTTTGCCCTTGAACCCAGCAGGCGGCACGAAGTATGCATCAGCAATACAGGACCTCTCCCTCGATGGCTACAACTTTGGCGACTCTGATTTGAACTACATCTCACTTTACGGATGGGATCACACGCTACAGTGGATCACGTCGGGGAATGCCTACAAGTTCCTAAAGTGGCGTCTCCTTCCGCGAGACCAGAGGGCAAAGACGAATCTGGACTTGTGGCTCGAAGCCATGGACTTTTCTCAACTTCAGAGCCTGTCAATCAGGTGCGCTTCATGCCGGGACAGCTCTACCGACTTGATTGCAAAGCTCCTTGCTCCTAAAATACCAAGCTTACAATCCTTGTCTGTCGAAGGACCGGACATGCTCGACTTCATCCTGGCCATACCGGCTGGCTCGCTCAACCAATTGATCTGGATTAAGCCTCAATATTCTGAAGAAAAGATCAGACTGATCCTCGAGCACCACGGAAGCAGTCTCACCGTGCTGGAATGGAGGAGCGCAGAAACTCTCTACCGCCCTCGCCCTCTCTTACCAATGCTGATCTTGCGAGACATCGGACAACTAGCACCGCGTCTGAAAGCTCTCACCATAGATTTGAACCGCCACAACACAAGTTGGCCCTTGGACGATATGGCGACTCTTATGAAGAGCATCCCAGACACCCTTTCAAACCTGACAATCTACTTTGAGATGGCGAGCGAATATCGGCGGCAGAAGAACGACGACTACTGGGACGGCCGGGGAGAGATCATTGAGGAGTTTGCACGGCCTTTGCTCAATTCTACGACCGCGCGAGAGCTGGCACATTTCTTGCGAGACCGCGGCGGACATTCTCTGGAGCAGGTGGAGTTCTTTGCGGGGGATTGGGAGCGGGAATGGGGCGAGCCGCTTCAGTTCACGGACTGGCTTCATCAACGACGAGCATGGATTCACTGTGATTTGGGGAAGAGAGGGGGAGAGATTTTATGTCATGGGAATGATACTCTTGTGCCAAGGGTTGACCGGAGTAATGTATGACGAGCGACAAAATGTGCGCAAGGTATTTTGCGAGGAATTGGAATTAGTGAAAACCAAAATTTACTCATCAGCAAGATAGTCATTTCATGAGCTGGAGTTTCTTTTTGGAAAAACACAGGGTTATCAACAGCTTCCTGCTTACACGGAAATAAATCCACGAAGGACTCAGTTGCGCACTCATAGACTTAATGGATAGGGACCCCCCTGAGAAGCACTAAATTCAACAGCAATTCCTCGATCACTGATAAGAACAGAAAAGACCGAGTCTTGCAGACAAACAAACGACTGGTCAGATTTTCTTTATCTACGCCAACAAAGGGTCTTCTGTCGTGCTACCTACCGAAAGTGGCCAAACCCCGCGCCGCCATAAGCTCGCGCAATTCGGGGTAAGCGGCACGATTCCAGTTGCTTAGGTGAGCTGTCGCAACGACTCCGCAGCGTGTTTTAGTGCTTAGCCGACCTAAATCCCGATTCCCGCCCGCTCGCCCGCCGCGGTACTGCACTCATTGATCATCTCTGAGTCGATGGCGAAATCTGCAACCCTTCAAGACGACATCGCGCGCCTGTGGAACCTTGCACTGCAGGCAAGGGTGGTGCGCAAGCGCAGTCCAAAACCAGAATGGCAGATATCACAGTCTCAGAGGCGTCGCCTCTGCTTCCCGCCGCCTCCTCATCCTCATCATCACCACCACCACCACGTCCGGACATGGCGTCCAGAATCAAGACGGCCCTCTGGGGCCCGCCGTCGGTCGAGCGCTCGCTGCTCATCAAGCTCGACTTCACCGTGCTCATCTACTTCTCCGTGGTGTGGTTCCTGTTCGGCATCAACCGCGCCAGCTACAGCACCGCCTACATCAGCGGCATGAAGGAAGATCTGAACTTCCAAGGGAAAGTGAGCTGTCTTTCATGAAACACCAAACATCGGCTGGTCCGCGGTTCCATATTGACTCTTGTCTCAGGACTTCAACTACATGCACACGATCTATCTCGTCACATACGCCGTGTTCCAGATCCCCTCAACCTCAATCCTGACCATCGTCAAACCGCGATACGTGTTCGTCGCCGCAAACACCGTTTGGAGCGTGCTCACACTGGTCACCTTCCGTGCGACCCATGTATATCAAGTCTTCATTCTCAACGGATTTGAAGGCGCCTTTTCTGCCATTGCATAGTAAGTCCGCCTTTGACGCTCGTGAAATGAGACTTGACATATACTCACACGACATCTCAGCGTGGGTGCGCATTTCATCTACGGATCGTGGTATAAGCAATCCGAACTTGCTACCCGCGCAGCCGTCTTCTGCGCTTTTGGCAACCTCGGCAATATGGCGGGAGGTTGGATCCAGGCCGGTCTACTGGCGTCTCTCTCCAACGGCCCGATCGCTCCATGGCGACTCATTTTTGTGGTGGTTTCATGTGTTACAATCCCCTTCGCCGTATTTGGTGAGTGACCCCTCCTCCATAGCGACAAACAAGCGGAAGACTGACGTGGGGGCAGGCTGGTTCGCGATTCCCGATCTGCCAGAGCACCGCTCCGCCAGGTTCCTATCTCCCGAAGAGAGGGACCTCGCAGTTACCCGCCTCGGCCGGACCAAGACCAAAGAATGGGATTTGAGCATCTTTCGGCGTGTTCTTCTCAGCTGGCAATTCTGGCTGCTTCCAACCGTGTTCATGCGTACGCCTCCTCTCAACATAGCCGGCCCCTGAGTTGATGCTAATAAGCGAGAACAGTCTACTCGCTCAGTGTTCAAGCGATACAAAACAATGTGATGCCCTTATGGATGGCTTCTCGCGGCTACAGCGTCATCCAACAGAACAACTACCCGACAGCAATCTACGCAACAGGCATTGTCGCGACGTTCATCTACTGCGCAGTATCTGACAAGCTTCGCTCTCGCTGGCAGGCGTCTCTGTGCATAGGTTTCACTTTCATCGTCAGCAGCGCCATTTTGATCTCAGACCCGCCAGACGCGGGCTACTTCTTCGCCTTCTACCTTATGGGCACGACGTACGCGCCGCAAGCGCTCTGGTACTCGTGGATGGCTGATCTCACGGCCCACGATCTGCAACTCCGAGCAATCACGACAGGCTTCATGAACTCATTCGATTTTGCGTTTGTGGTACGTTCGCCTCAAGATGGGTGATGTTTGGTTCCATTCACTGATTGGGCTTAGACATGGTGGCCTCTTATCTTTTATCCCGTGACCGACGCGCCAAACTACCAAAAGGGGTACATTGCCAGCTTGGTGACGGGGGCGCTGACCGTGCCAGTTATCTTGTTGATTGCTTTTCTCGAGAGGAGAGGAAGACGAAACGGAACTATTACTGGCAATATCAATGAAGGTCCCTATTCAGACGAATACACTGACACCGTTGAACACACCAATGCCAACGAGTGCACCAACACCGACGAAGATGCAAATACGGCAAAGGGCACCGAGATAGCGACAGATGTGTCGCGCAGGTGATTAGACTGATTTACATAGAGCACCTGCGAGGGCAGCATAATTCATCACTGAAATTGGCACACTTTTCGACGGGAGCATTCCTTCACTGTCGCTGCGAACTTCATAGTCATTCGATCTACATGTCTATAAGAGGTTTCAAAAGCTCATTCCCGCGCTTTGAACCCTCTCCACCCTCCTATCCGGCCAGAACAAATCTGAATGTCTGCAACTGGAAGGGACCAAGGTCAACCTCAAACTTGCCATCAACCAAGGGAACATCTGCGTCGTCGTCCTCTAGGAGATTCGTCTTGTGCACACTCTGCAACTTCCACCTCGCCTGCACCGTCGCTCGTCCGCGCCCACCAAGGCCCTCATAGATTCGAACAATGACGCTCTTACCCGACCGCACCGGCAATTCGCCGTTGCTGACGTCTTCATCATCTTCTCCACGCTTGACAGTGTCGAGGACAAGGTTCTTGTCACCATCCAAGACGATTGGAAACTCCCTCAGCGGCGAGTCCGCGGACATCCACATCAGCTTCAAAGGGTTGTTGAAGTTAAAGGCAGCTCTGACCGTATCTGGTCCAAGAGGGCCTTGGTGAGGCAGGATGGCCCATCGGATGGTGTGCTTGCCCATGTCGGCCTGGTCATCGGGAGCCTTGGCGGAGCGTAGGAGCGAAAGCCTCATAGTGTTACCGACTGTGGCGAAACCGTACTTACTGTCATTGAGAATTGAGACGCCGTAGCCGTATTCCGAGAGATCAGCGTACTTGTGGCTGCACACCTCAAACTTGGCCATGTCCCAGCTGAGTCCCAGAGTGTCAGCTAACCGCAAAGAAAGGATTCAAAGTAACGGATACTTACGAGGTGTTATAGTGAGTTGGCCGCCGGATGACACCGTACTGGGTGTCATACGATGCCTCATGGTGCCGAACATCCACCGGGAACTCGACCTTCAGGAACTTCATCGTCTCATGCCAGTCAACTTCCGCAGTGCACTCTACATACGACGGGCTGGATTCTTCATCAAAGGCAGCGCCGAGGCTGATGGTGGTCTTGATAGAGCTGACGTCGCTGATCTTCGTCTCCGTGACAACGCTGACCTTCAGAGGGCCGTCTTCAAGAATCGAAGTGGTGGACCCGTGTAGCTCTTCCCGAGTTTCGAGATGGAAAACCTCCACGTCCCAGGCCTGCCAGTAGATGGGCTTGTCATCGAAAATGACGAACTGGTTCGCCTTTCCTGCGAGAACCTGGCGCTTGGTGCTGTAATCGTACAAGGAGGTGATACACCCTCGCTCAACGATCACGGAGAAGCGGGAGTTCTGCATTTTGAAGACGCCTTCGGAAATTTCCTCCACGGTCACTAACTTCTTGGCTGTGGCTGTTGGGGTATCTTGAATAGAGAGGAAGGTCCCATTACCTTCGGCGATGACAACCGACCCGTTGCTAGCGAAAAGTACCTCTTTGCGGGGCCACGCCAGGGTGTTGAGAGCGAGTTGCTCGTCATCAGCAAACCTTGGCTCGGGTCCCTCGAATACACTCAGAGTGCTGTAAATATCTCGGAGAAGGGTGTCGCGAATTTGGAAAACGTTTGAGTAGATCTTGACGCGTGTCAGCTCAATTTCGTATGTCTGGGGCTGTAGGGCATACCTTGTCCGAGTCGTCATAGCACATCCCAATCGCAGTTCCAGGAAGACAGTCGTGGAATTGGCACAGTAGAACGCCTTCCCACATCTCATCGAGTTCCTTCTTAGGATACTTGTACGAGGGATCATGGATGGAGGCAATCGTGGCAAGAAACTCGAGATCCCTAAGGAGGAATTCAGCTCGTCTGTTATTGTTCTTCGTAGCGGCTTGGGTCGTGTAAGTGCCACGATGAAGCTCAAAGTACAGCTCCCCATGCCAGGTTGGAAGCGTGTGCGCCTTTTCTTCCAGCTTGTCGAAGAAGTCCTCAGGGGTGCCTCCGAGATGAACTCGGGGGAGAAGCCCCGTGGTGTCGGCGAGGCCTCTCAGTCTCCGAAGTCTCTCAATCTGCTGCCAGGTAGGGCCGCCACCGCCATCACCTTTTCCAAACTGGAAGAATGTCAATCGGCGATCAACGAATGATGCACAACTTTAGAATCGATAGAGTACTAACTGCAAGGAGAGAAGTGTGATCTTGATCTAGCGTCCTATGCTGCGTCATACTCTTTTTGATGTTGTCAAACGTTGCATCGGCACAGTAAGTCTTTGCGGGCGGCATGTGGCAGATGACTTGACTTCCATCAAGAGCAACCCTGAATTATTTAGATCAGCAAAGACCCTATGAAATCCTTTAGAGTAAAGCTTCTCTTACCAGTTGAAGGACGTATGAGGGAACTCATTCATGTTGTTGAAGCAAATCTTTTGTGTCAAGAACCTGTTCATCCCTGCTTGCCGACAGAGTTGAGGGATCTGACTCGACTGGCCGAATGTGTCGGGTAGCCAGCAAGTAGTTGACCGGAACCCGAAGTTGCTCTCAAAGAACCTTTGACCGTAGAGAAACTGTCGAACAAGGGATTCGCCGCTCGGCAT